CCCCCCCCCCCCCCCCCCCCCGACTCTGGAAAAAAATACAAACCCCAGGACGCAGAGTTTGGGAGAAAGGGGGAGAGGGAGGAGAATGACTTCAGGAATTTGTTATTTTGCTTTGCTGTTTAAGCAAAAAAAATGCTTTTTCCTACCCAGGGCCAAGAAAGGAGGCAGCGCACGTAGCGAACGCACTGGGGCTGAGTTTGGACAGGCTGAAATTTTACGCCTGGAAAACACGGGCTGCTGGTGGATCCAGGCAAAAAATTCCTCTGAAGTTTAAAAAAAGGGCAGAAAAGCAGCCACCGGGGGAAGCAGAGGAGTCTCTGCGATACCCGAATCGTTCTAAAAATATATTTAAAACCTCCTGACTGTTGATTTCAGCAGCTTTCGCAAGCTGAACGAAGGATAACTCCGCTCGGGGGGGATCAGGATGGCTCGAGGGGGGAGGAAAATGTGTTAATGAACCCTGTTAGAAGCCAATTCCAAAGTTTGGGAAGGGGGAGAGCTGCAGCCCTCCCGAGCCCTGAGAAACCACATTTTCTCTCCACTTTAGAACAACATCAACTCACTATTTACCATCGGAGCAACCGATTATGGGATCGATTTTCTCTTGGCTAAAAATCCCACATCTGACAAGTTTTTTCCGACGTTCCCCCAGCCGTTTCCCGTTGGGGCCAGGGCTCCGGGCTCCCTCATTCCCAAAAATCCTGAGCCAGCAGCTCTCCAGGAAGCAGGAGCTTCCCGAGGTCGGGCTGCAGCTGCCGTCCGAGGTTACCGGGGCCGGTGACTCCCCGTTACAACCTCAAACCCCACACGGTCATCACCTTCCAGGGTTTTTCCTCCTTAAATCCAGCTCCACTTCCAAAGTCCAAGGTCTATTGAGGTGCCATCATCATCCACAGACCCAGCTGGACGCATCCCCCTGCCGTGTTATGGACATTTTGGGGCCCGTGACACCCACCTGGGCCTCAGGTACAGCCGGTACCCCAACCCCGGCACCCGCTGGCCCGGTTTTTTACTGGGGACCCCAGCCCAGGGGGTAGGGGGGCAACTTGGGACCCCCCAGGTTCACCCAAGGAGCACCCATATGGTACGGGAGCGACCCGGGACCCCCCAGCATCGCCCAAGGAGGCCCCACCGAGGACGCCGTGGGCCCCCCCTCTGCTCCCAGCCCCGCCACGGCGGGAGGCACCAGGATACCGGGCCCCGGGATGGTCAGGAGCCACCGGGAGAAGGTGTTGGGGGGCACCTGGAGAAGCCCTCAGGGAGATATGAGACTGGGTCTCCGAGGGGTACCGAGCTGGGGCACCGGGCACTGGCGAGGGGGGCCACCGGGCACCAAACCGGGATGCCAAGGGGTGATAACGGCAGGAACGAGGGGACCACCGGCCCGGCCCGGGCTGGCGGTAGCAGGAAAGGAGCCACCGAGTCAGAGCTTGCAACAGCAGGCCGCCCACCCCCGGTGCTGCGGCGGCGATTCCCCGGTGCCTCACCTGGCTGGCCTTATAGAACTGCTTCTTCAGCCCTGCCACCGACATCCTGCCGCCGGCCGGGGGGGACTCTGGGGGCGGCGGGACAGCCTACGGCACGTAGGAGCGGAGCGGAGCCCGGCCCGGCAGCTGCCGCCGCCGCTTCTTTTCCTTCTTCTTCTTCGTCTTCCGCCGCCGCCGCCGCCAGGAAGCGCGCGCCCCGCCCCGCCCCGCCCCCTAACGGCCACCGGCACCACCGAGGAGCGGCCTCGCGCCGGCCGGAGCGCCCACCCCCGCCCGCCACGTGGTGCCCTCGCGCCCCCTGCCGGCCGGGCGGCGCCACCGCACCCGACCGACAAACCGCGACGGGGGGTGGGCGACCTGCCCCCGCCGCTACCGGGGAGAGGGAGCCTTCAGGGAGGGGACAGCGTGTGCGACATGGGGGCGACCAGGCCGAGAAAAGGCCTGTATCCCCGCCTCTAAAGATAGGAATGGGGACTCGCGGGAGGAACTACAACTCCCATAATACCCCGCGGCACCGCTCTGCGCCTGCGCGCCGCCGCGGCGGCCGTTCATTGGCCGCCGGCGCCGCCGCCATTTCGCGCCCTGGCTTGGGCCCCTCAGCGCAGCGGCGCGGTGGGTGGCTCTGCCTCTCCGCCTGGGGCTGGGGAACGGCTGTCCCGGCCTCTTCCGAGTCGGCTCCGGGGCCGCACCGCCGCTGCCCGTGTTCCGTGCCCGGCGAGCAGGCAGGCGTAAGGACCCAGAGGCACCCCGCCTGCCCTCACCCAGCTATCCAATCAGCGCTTTTAGCGGATCTGAGCGACAGCTCCCGCCGCCAATCACCGACGGCCGTCGCGCTAGCCAATCGGGAGGCGGCGGCGAGGCCCGGGGCCTGGGTTTCCCTCCCGCCCTCCTCGCGAGACGGGGGCGGGGCGGGCGGAAGGGCGGGTCACGTGGGGCGCGCTCCGCCTATCAGCGCGGCCGAGCGCGGGGTCGCCCCGGCTCCCGCCAAATACGAGCGGGAGCCCCCGGGGCGGGACCGGCCGCGGCGGGGATGGGACGGACCAGGACGGAGCGCGACGGCTGCCGCCGCCGTCAGGGGGAGGAGGAGGAGCGGCAGGACTCCGCGCCGCGTCCCGCCCTGGCAGGTAAGGCTCGGAGCTCGGTGGGGGCCGGGGCGCGGTGCGTTTCCGGCGGCGGTTGGGGTGTGCGGGGCCTTCCCCGGGGGTAACAAAGGAGGCCCCGCCGCCGCGCCCCGTGACTGGGCCCGACCCGTCGCCTCACCCGCTCCCTTCTTCCCGCCCGACCTTCTTATTCTCCACCTGGGCCTAGCGCGGGGGAGCCGGTGTCCGGCAGCCCCGGGGCGCAGAGATCCCCTCAGCCTGAGGCGGCGGTGGGGGGGGGAGGCCTTCCCGGTCTCTTTGTCTGGGCCCGCGCTCCGCCTCAGGCGCTGCCGCCGGTGCACCGTGGCGGGGAAGGGGGGTGGTTCACCGGGAACCTGTCAGGGGTGTTTATTTGTGCTGTTTTTCCCCCCCGGCAGCCATGGAGTGCAGAGACAAAGCGGCCGTTCCTGCGCGGAAGCTCGTACAAGGTGAGGCTGTGGGGGGGGCTGTCACCCAGCGCTGCTCCAGCGCCCTGAGATGGCGTCAGACCTGCCTGTAGGAGCTATACCCCCCTCACACTAATAAACTGGCCTTAATTGGGTAACCTGGTTCAATTCTTGTTAGAATCATAGAATGGTTAGAGTTGGAAGGGACCTTAAAGATCATCCAGTTCTAGCCCCCTGCCCTGGGCACCTTCCACCAGCCCAGGTTGCTCCAAACCCCATCCAGCCTGGCCTTGAACCCCTCCAGGGATGGGGCATCCATGACTTCACTAGGCAACCTGTTCCAGTGTGTCACTTCCCTCACAGGAAAGAATTTCTTCCTTATATCTAATCTAAATCTCCCAATTTAAAACTGTTACCCCTTGTCCTGTCAAATGGCTTTGGGGTGGGAGAGACTGTGTTGGGGTCCTTCTCCAGACTTCTGGGACCTTTTTTGGGTTTCAGTGATGGTGTCTTATTGCTCTCTACAACTCCCTGAAAGGAGGGTGTAGAGAGATGGGGGTTGGTCTCTTTTCTCAAGTCACAGGCGACAGGACGAGAGGAAATGGCCTCAAGTTGCGCCAGGGGAGGTTCAGGCTGGATATTAGGAACAATTTTTTTGCTGAAAGGGTTCTCAGCCCTTGGAATGGGCTGCCCAGGGAGGTGGTTGAGGCCCCATCCCTGGAGGTGTTCAAAAGACGGGTTGATGTAGTGCTGGGAGGTCTGGTTTAGTGATGATGCTCCTTGTTTGTTATGTGGGTGTCTATTTTTGTCAGTTGGGTTGACGGTTGGACAAGATGATCTTTAAGGTCCCTTCCAACCTAGAAGATTCTGTGATTCTGTGTGGGCAGCACCAAGTGACAAATACCTCTCTGGTCCACGGAAGGATGCCTGGTGCAGCGTAGTGAGGGATGGACACTCAGGTGTCCCCCCAGAGCCTTCTCTTCTCCAGGCTGAACAACCCCAGCTCTCTCAGCCTGTCTTCATAGGGGAGGTGCTCCATCCCTCTGATCATCTTCATGGCCCTCCACTGGACATGGTCCAACAGGTCCATGTCTTTTTTGTGTTGAGGACTCCAAAGCTGGACACGGAACTCCAGGTGGAGTATGGGCAGCACAGAGTAGAGGGGTAGAATCACCTCCCGTGACTAATTAAATATCCTGCTATTTGATTCCCCCCACCCCTTTCACTGATCTGTATGATGTGAGTAAAATAACAAAATATTGTTGTTTCAGCTCGGTTGCCCTTCAAACGCCTGAATCCTGTACCAAAGGAAAAATATGATGGGGATTCAGAAGTCAAAAAAGTAAAGAGCTCGCAAAGTGGCTTTGGTCCCAGTAAGGATTCCTCCCTGGATGCATCCAACGCCTCCCTGGACAACGTGGAGAATGACTGCCAGCTGGATGGGGATGTGAATTTTGCTCCGAAACTTGTTAATGGGAAGTTAGACCGTTTTATGCAGAAAAACACAAAAGATGACCCAAATGAAACTGTAGTTGTCATTGACCTGTCAAATGACTCCAGCCATAGACTAAGCGATGGTGTAGACCGGGCTGACTGGGAGTCAAAAGCATCTTCATCTGTAGCTGTAGCTACCAGCACGTTAGGAAAAGAGATAAAACAGTTGAGTTGCCTGAATTCTGCTCAGAGTAGCCAAACGGATGAGTCGATGGAGACCGATGCTCCCTGTGAAGCTGTAGCCACTAAAGATGAGGATTTGGTGGGTGGAAATCAATCGTGCTCCGAGTTGATGGAGTGTAACAGTGGGGAAAACCCAAAGGTCCACCAGAGCGAACTGAAGGATGTCATCTTTGAGGGGAAGATGCCCGTGGTGCTCCTGGAGGATATTATGGCTTCAAAATCTCCCCGGGTCGCTTCTCTGGATGGAAGCGTCACGTCGGAAAACGAGACCATGGAGTCGTCTCACGAAGGAGACTCTGGACTTACCCATTCCTCCCTCAGCTCCCACTCCCTGAGCTCACCTGAGGCACAGCCTGCAACGGAAACAAAGAGAAATTCTAGTCCTTTGGCTGCCTCAACGCCCGTTAGGAAGGTTGGTCTCTTCTCTTGGGGTTTTTTTTTAAAAGCTGTTGGTTTGCAGATGGGTTCTGTGGCTTCCTGCGCTGGTAGTGAGGAGAGGTAGGATATTCACAAAGAATATGAGAAGCCTGTGAAAGGTGGTGTTGATTTATTAACAACATAACTGAATTATTGCCTTTTTGAATCTTCCTTTAAGTCCTATAGCCACAGGATTTAAATCTTGTCTGGTTTTTGAGCTGCTGCCGTTTTTGCATCGTGTGAATGTAACTTTAAACTCTGTTACAGGTTCATTTTATGTGGGTTTTTTTTTTTTATTATAAACCACGTGCCCTGGGAGTTTGTGTTTTGGTGTTTGGGATGACAGTCTCCAAAAACCATTTTGTCCATTAGGTGACGTTTCACAACCTTTAATCTTTCCTTGACGAAGCTGCTGTGTAATTACTGCGGGAGGCCGTTACCCCAGCACCAGTCAGTGCAGATATTTACCAAACTCTGAATTTCTGCAGCTGTGGTGGAGGACAAAAAGCTTTAATCTGAAACCACAGCGTGTCAGAAACTCTGAATTTCTGCAGCTGTGGTGGAGGAAAAAAAAGCTTTAAGCTGAAACCACAGCGTGTCGGTGGAACTGTGGGATCTGCATGAGGATGGAGGGCGAGTCAAGGAGCCTTTCTCTCTCCAAACTGGGCGTATGGAGCTCATGTTCCCAGCATTTTTTGTCATGGGGAGGTGATTTGGGGAAAAGCCACCGTGTGTAGAGCCCTCCTAGGAACACTGGGTGCTGTTGGGTAGAGAGGGCTGGAGTGCAGGAGGGAACACCTTGGAATTAGCTCTCTATGAGTTAGTTTTTTGTGGTTTAGCTCTGTTTTAGGACCAGCAAAAGGCCCTAAAACATTATTTTTTTAGTGGTGTATCAAAAGGGAGGCTTTTTAGGAAGATAGGATCTGTGCAGGTGGCTCAAACACTGGTGTGGCTCAAATACCTGTTCACTCCTCAGCTGTTCTGGGGAAGAGATGAGTGGTGGTGTAAATTGAGAGGTTATAGGGGGGGAACAGTCATCTCTATGAAGCAGAACAGTCCTGGTTGGGCTTGACTATGCCCAGTGAATTTATTTTGCTCAACAACAATATTAGAGCAGAAAATGAGGGAGGTGTTGAGGGGTTGAGTCCGTGTTGTGCTGCCAGAGGTGGAGAATTGAGTAGGGAGCTCAGGTAAATGAGGTTGAAGCAGCTGGTTGCCTTCCTGCTTATGTCATCCTGAGCCTTTTAAGAAAGATTTTAAACAGTTCCCCCTTGGGGGGTTTAAGAACAAATAGTCTCACAGGTGAGGAAAAACCTCCTCCTTGGAGGAATGGATAAATAAGCTGGAATTTAAAGCTCATGATGTGCCAAGTCTCCCATCCCTTTTGCTGTGCACTTATTGAGAAAAAATGAACAATTCTTACAGTTACAACTTGCAATCTTTCATGGCTAAAATAAGTACATAAACTCAAGCAGGCATGAAGTATGTCCAGCAGAGCAGTGCAAACAAAAAAAGGACTTGATTCCTGATGTAACACGATCAGACAAACAAGCTCTTGGTGGCATGAAGTGAGGGAGGAGCAGCTCAGGTGCTGTTTGCCCTGGTGGTTGTCTGTCCTGGCTTGTTTGTTTTCTTAGGTGGGAACAGCTCTGATAAATTAAAGCTCCTGGTTGAAAAAAAAACCTCTTATTTTTGTGTCTCAGGTAAATAGAGGAGATCTCGATGCAGCTTTTGGGGAGTCTGGGAGTACAGAAAATGAAGCAGTGGGTTTGTGCCAGTCACTTAATCACAGGGCACCTTCCACTGCGAGTGGCAGGAGATGGAAGAGGGAGATAAATGAAACCAAGCCACAATATTCTGAATTATTGACAAATTAAGCCTTTGGCCAGTATATAAGCAATGCTTTTAAACATAAACTACATTTCCCCCCCCATAAGTAACAGCTTCAAGAGAAATCAGAAGTCTGATCTGGTGGGAATTTGGGGTCAATGCCCTGGTAGTGGTGGAAAAGTGAGAGAAGAAGAACAGCAACCAGTTAAAATGTGTATAATAGTCCTTGTATTCAGAAATAGTTAAATATCATGGAGAGAGTAAGTGGTAGGATGTTAAAAAAAACCAAAGCAAACCATCCAAGTTCGACTCGAAGGAAGTGACTTTGCTATAATTAAATGTTCTCTCGTGATTTGGAGCAGCTCTGGCTTCTGTTTGTTTTTCTGCACATGAGATTCCCTTTGCAAATGATACTTTAGAAGAGGAGACCGGAGGGATTTGTTTATGCAAAATGTAGTAACACGAGGACTTAATGAAAACTGAAGCATTTAGATGTATTCAGGCTTCAATGTAAATCAGGGAGATTAGAAATGCTTGAACTGTGTTCTTATATCCTAGAGCGAAGGAATACTTCAGCTGCTGAACCTACTAATCTGCAAGAACAATGTTAATGGGATTCAGATGAAGTTTGCTCTTCTCTCAGTGAGAGTTCTCGTGCCTCATGGAAAGGGAACGATGTGGATGGTTAAAACTTGCCTTTTCTAATTCCAGGTATCATCTCAGAAATTCCACAGAAGTTCAGCAGAGAAGGAGAAGCTGAGATTGCAAAGAGTAAGGCATTTTTCCCTCCTGTGCTTTGGTGCCCAGTAGCGAGCGAAACCCTTCGCCCTTCATCTTAGTCCACTTAGAACATCTCTTTCCCTGCTTTTCCTCACTGATGAATATGGAAGGATGTTAATTCAGGCAGAGAAAGCACTTGGCTCGTTCCAGAGCTGCTTAGTGCATACGGAATGAGGTGTGGGTGGCCTGGGCTGTGTTTCTCTGCACTTTGGTAAGATATTAAGGAGCTAAATGTTGCTGATGGCTTGTCAAAATGCTCTGGAGAATTTTTCAGTCCCTTCCTGAGAAGGCACAGCCTGGGAGTGGACAGATGCAGGTGAAATCACAGAATGATGTGGGTTTGGAAGGGACCTCTGGAGATCATCTCCTCCAACCCCCTGCCAGAGCAGGTCCCACAGGAACGTGTCCAGGGGGGTTTGAATGTCTCCAGAGAAAAGGAGACTCCACCACCTCCCTGGGCAGCCTCTGCCAGGGCTCTGACACCCTCACAGCAAAGAAGTTCCTCCTCATGTTTAGGTAGAACTTCCCATGTTCAAGTTTGTGCCCGTTCCCTCTTGTCCTGTCCCTGGGCACCACTGAGAAAAGACCAGCCCCATCCTCCTGACACCCACCCTTGAAGTATTTATAGGTGTTGATCAGATCCCCCCTCAGTCTTCTCTTCTCCAGACTAAAAAGCCCCAAGTCCCTCAGCCTTTCCTCATCAGAGAGATGCTCCAGGCCCCTCATGATCTTTGTAGCCCTCTACTGTCCCCTCTCCAGCAGTTCCCTGTCCTTCTTGAACTGGGGAGCCCAGAACTGGTCCCAGTGCTCCAGCTGTGGCCTCCCCAGGGCAGAGCAGAGGGGCAGGATGACCTCCCTCCACCTGCTGCTCACACTCTTCCTGATGCCCCCCAGGATGCCACTGGCCTTCTTGGCCACCAGGGCCCATTGCTGGCTCATGGGCATCCTGTTGTCCACCATGACTCCCAGGTCTTTCTCCTCAGAGCTGCTCTCCAGCAGGTCACCCCCAACCTGTCCTGGTGCAGGGGGTTATTCCTCCCCAGATGCAGCACCTTACACTTGCCCTTATTGAAGTTCATCAGGAACTTCAAGACCTTTCTCTTTAGGGTCAGTTCTTTCATCCTTCTCACACTTCCCCTTTTTAAGCTGAAAGAAGTGGTGTCCTTCATTAATCAGGGAGGCAAATTGGCTGCTGTATTTACAGCTGAAGAACCTGTTGATGTTGCTGCTGGAGATGCTGGAGCTCTGCTCCCTGAGTGCTGCTGCCCACCAAACTGTCCTGTAACAAAACTCCAGGGCCACAATTTTGCCATCCCTTCTGCTTTCAGTCATTAAAGGCTAAATATAAGGAGGCTGCAGGCTCATGGGGAGCTCTCAAACAGTCAGTGCTGTAGGAGGGGGCTTTGCCTGCTGGAAAACTGGGTGTTATTTTAACTGCCGTTGGGAAGGCCAGTGCTTATGAATTCCTAATTGTGTTTCTTGGTAACTGGTTTATGAAGTTGATGGGGGACTGTTGGGTTTTTTGTTTTTTTTCTAGGAGCTATATGTGGCTGAGCCTGCTCCCGAGATGCTTTTTTCCAGTGCCCCACATAGAAGTCCAATCTGTTGTTTTCTTCCATTCTATAGATGTGTTAAAAATAGCAGTGATGTGAGGCAGAGAGATGAGAATGGAAGCTTTATTATGCTGCAGATTAAATAGACCTGCCAATCTCTCCCTTCACTTCACACCGCTTCCCAAACTACCCACTAGATATTTTTTTTTCACTGATCATTTTTTCACCATGACTCAGTTCTGACAATATTGTGGGGTTGTGTTTTGGGATTTTTTTGTAGTTTTTTTATTTATTTTTTTTTCCCATTGGCACCATTTTGTATGTTGGGTGCCTCCTGCAGTTATTTGTACGTTGTGGCACCTCTCAGCGAGTCTCGATGTTGCCAAGAAGAGATGTGAAATAAATAAAACAAAAACTGCAAATACCCAGGGAAGGGGGTTTGTGTGTCTGAGCACAGACATACCCTCAGCTCCTGGTGAAGTCACCAATGCCTGCAACATGGGGAAGCTGCCTTTTTCTTTAATTTATCATTTTTAAGAAGGGTGCTGCATTTTCCTGGCTGGCAGTAGATCCATGATGAGAATTGCTTTGGGAGGAAATATAGTGATATAATGTATATTCTTCCCCCCACTGCTCCCATAGTGCCCCTTAAATAAGCTTAAGGTGCCTGCTCTTGTCTGATTATCTAATGTGGATTACAACAAGTGACAATTCTTCTGTGAGCTCCAGGTCTTACCAAGCAGCAGAGTTTGGAGACTCACGTTACTGCCTGAAATAGTGGAAAAACACAGGCAGAAAATCCTTATGGGTTCATAATGCAAAATCAAATCAAATTCACTTTTCAAACCCGTACCACGGTGGCCCTATGTTGATATAAAGGCATGAAAGCTTAGCTGGGGAGGTACAGATTTCTAAAGGAAGTCTTTTAGAAACAATCTGAAGTCCATTAAGTTAAATTAATTTTTTTAATTCCCATATCATTTTCCATAACGCTATACATCGCTAATGAAGATGACTATAAAGCCAGTAGATGCTTAGAAGCATCTTGCTGCTTAGAAAATGCAAATGCTTCCATTTGTTAGGAGAAAAGAATAATTAATGCCTTCAGAGAGCCCGAATAGCTCGGCTGGCCCGGGTAACAATTAATAACCTTGTGTTAATAACCCATGATAGCTAGAAAAGCATTGGGTGGGTGCAAGAATCTGCTGTAGGATCTCAGCTGAAGAAATGAAGCCCTTGTTTTCCTCGAGTTTTTAATTGCTGGGGACAAAGAGGCAACTTGTTGAACGGCTTCTTTCTGCCCCAGGACCAGGAGCGCGCAGACAAACTGCAGAAGCTGCAGGCGGAAAGGGAGGAAAAGGGGAGACTGAAAGAAGAAGCAAAAGCCGCCAAAGAGCGAGCCAAGGAGGAGGCCAAGAAGAAGAAAGAAGAGGAGAAAGAGCTGAAAGAGAAAGAAAGGAGGGAAAAGAAGGAGAAAGAAGAAAAGGAGAAAGCGGAGAAGCTGAGGGTGAAGGAGGAGAAGCGCAAGGAGAGGCAGGAAGCGTTGGAGTAAGTGGCTGGGTTTCCACGGGTCCTGGGGAATTGTGTGAGCACCTTTTCATGCCCAAATTGGCCTTCTAGAGCATGTACTGGTTAGACAGGATATATTTTAAGCACTTGAAGGGCTGTGTCCACCAGGCCCTGAGCTCAACAGTGCTTTTTCATAGAATCACAGAATGGTTTGGGTTGGAAGGGACCTCAAAGATCATCTAGTTCCAACCCCCCTGCCATGGGCAGGGACACCTCCCACTAGAGCAGGTTGCTCAAGGCCCCATCCAGCCTGGCCTTGAACCCCTCCAGGGATGGGGCATCCACAACTTCCCCGGGCAACCTGTTCCAGTGTCTCACCACCCTCAGAGTAAAAAATTTCTGCCTGAGATCTAATCTGAATCTTTTTTCTTCCAATTTAAAACCGTTTCCCCTTGTCCTATCATTACCCTTCCTGGCAAAGAGTCCCTCCCCAGCTCTTCTACAGGCACCCTTCAGGTATTGAAAGGCTGCTATAAGGTCTCCCCAGAGCCTCCTCTTCTTCCTTGTGGGCTGACCTGGGCTTCTGCTTGGAGAAGGCTGAAGAGCGCTGTCACGCTCCACTGGCTTTTTCTCCTCCATGACCAGTCTGTCCTGTACTTTTGCAACGTCCTGGCACTGGTGCCCTGTCGGGTGAAGGAATTGCTTGTAACTCAATAACACCATCAATTCCCTTTCCTGGCATTGAGGGAAAGTTGAAGCAGCCAAAGCTACTTTGTGGCTAAAACAGGTCAATATTTGCTCTAGGAGGAATGAAGGGAGTCCTCTGCACACTTAAACAAGTATGGTCCTTGGCTGATAAATAGATTATTAGATGAATTCTCTTCTTGTCTATCATGATGGGGTCAAGCTCTGGGGCTTCTCACACTTCCTCACTGCAAATAAACACCTTGTGATTTGTGACACTTCAAATGAACTTTCTGTTAAAGGGCAAAACTCGAAGAGAAGAGAAAGAAAGAAGAGGAGAAACGGTTAAGAGAGGAGGAAAAGGTAAATGCTTTCTCTAATTTGTCTCTAAATTCTTCTGCTGTGGTGAAATGATGTTAATGGGCTCCCTGGCGCCCGGCTGACGCTGCAATTATTATTTTTGTTGTTGAGTTACAGGAGCTGGTAAATAACTGAGCTTGGCTTTATAGCTCGCTAGATTTGAAGTTGGGTCATGCGTAGAGCTCACCTTGAATTATAAGGCCTTGTCCTACCTTTGTGATTGTTAATTTGCATTTTGCTTCTGATTGCAGCGTATTAATGCACAGAAAGCAGAAATTACGAGGTTCTTCCAGAAACCAAAGACTCCACAAGCCCCGAAGGTGAGGTATTGCTCTTCATGTGTTTTGTATCTCTGTCTAATAAAGACACTGATGTCCTTCTGAACTCTCCCTTAGAGCTTCTTGGGTGGGCAAAGCATTAGTATTTCTTATTTCCTCATTTCCAAAGGATTTAATTCAAAGTCTGTGACCAGAGCAGAGTGTTAGTGCTGCGGTTTCTCAGTTCAGACCCTAACGATCCTCGTTTAATATTTCAGATTCTTGCTGGCTCTTGTGGAAAGTTTGCTCCTTTTGAAATTAAGGAGAACATGGTCTTAGCTCCCCTTTCTCGTATCGCCCTGGATCCTGACTTTTTAGAACAGCTGGATAAGCTCCTGCACCTCCAGAATAGTGACGTTTCTTTTTTGAGGGATCTAAAGTGTCGTAAACCACGGAAAACTGGTCCTACTTTTGTCAATAACAGTGCTGACATAGTAAACAGGTCAGTATGAGTTTGGGGAGGTTTCTTCACTTTTTTAATGTACTAAATCACAGAATGGTTTTGAGGTAGGCTTTATTCTGCTATGGGAGAGGTTGGAAAGGTGGGGCTTTTCTTTGAATACTCATTTTTATATGAGAATTGCTTCCACAGGGAGCATTGTGTGATGATGTGAAATGAGCATTGTGAAATGATCAGAGGGCTGGAACCCTCTCCTGTGAAGACAGGCTGAGAGAGCTGGGGTTGGAGAAGAGAAGGCTTCAGGGAGACCTTAGAGCCTACAGGAGAGCTGGGGAGGGGCTCTTTGTCAGGGAGTGTAACGATAGGATGAGGGGTAATGATTTTAGGGGCTCTTTGTCAGGGAGTGTAACGATAGGAGGAGGGGTAATGATTTTAGATTGAAAGAGGGGAGATTTAGATTAGATATGAGAAAGAACTTCTTTGCTGTGAGGGTGGTGAGACACTGGCCCAGGTTGCCTGGAGAAGTTGTGGCTGCCCCATCCCTGGAGGGGTTCAAGGGCAGGTTGGACGGGGCTTGGAGCAACCTGGTGTGGTGGGAGGTGTCCCTGCCCAGGGCAGGGGGGTTGGAATGAGATGATCTTTAAGGTCTCTTCCATCCCAAACCAGTCTATGATTCTATGATGTAGGTTTTCTTCATTCCATACAACGCTTCTCAAATCCTTCCCTGCAGGAAATCTTGCACTTCAGGGAGCTGCCTTCAGCCCTGGACACCGGTGGCCTTTAGTGGTGTTTGTCTTTGATAATTTTAAAAAATAAAGGCACTGACAGCTAAACCAGAGATGCAGTTAAGGAGGGAGGTGGCTTGTCATCGGGAGTGTCTGTTCTAATGGACTCTGGGTTGATATTGTGGCTGGACCAATGTTTTCCTGAGCAGGAGGGGAGGGAAGGACTGAAGACGGTCTCTTCTTTTAACAGCGACGTGGTGGTGGTGGTGGACAACTGCAAAACAGATGCTGTTCCCGAAAGGGGGAAATTTGGTAGAATGAAACTTCTGCAGTTCTGTGAGAATCACCGTCCCGCGTACTGGGGCACCTGGAACAAGAAAACCACTGCGATCCGTCCCAGGAATCCTTGGGCAAAGGACAGTGTAAGCACCTCACGGGCTGTCGTTGGATTCTTTTCTTTCTTTCTTTCTGCTCTTGAAGTGAAGATGGGCTTGTTGGCCAAGTTTCCCTGTTTTCTGGGATTTCCCATCCGCTTGCATATTCCCTCTTCCTCCTGAGTTTTGAAGCCCTGAGTGGGCTCCGGCGTCGTGCTCTCAATTCACTCACAGAAATGGCATTTCTTCTAGAAACTACTGGACTACGAAGTAGACAGTGATGAAGAATGGGAAGAGGAGGAACCTGGAGAAAGCCTCTCCCACAGCGAAGGGGTAAGGATTCCCCATGCTGAAAAAAAACCAGCTTTCCTGAACCGATTCTGCTTGTCAGTGTGATTTCTAATCAGCAGAGTTTATTTTTAGGATGATGAAGAGGAGGGAGAGGACGAAGATGATGACGATGGGTTTTTTGTACCCCATGGGTACCTATCTGAAGATGAAGGAGTGACAGAGGTAAGTGGACTGGGTGTCACTGGTTTTCCATCTCTGTTTCCAGTGAATTGTGTAACAAATATTGGCAGAGGGAGTCTAGGCAGTGGTGTAACTCAGATCTGCACGGTTCAGGAGCGGCTTCTGTAGCTCAGGGAACACGGTAAAAAGCTGGATTTGAAAAAGCTTTTGTTTTTCCTGGAATGAATGTATGGAGTTCTTTCTCCCCCGTGGCTTTAGGAGTGCGACCCGGAGAACCAGAAGGTTCGTCAGAAGCTGAAAGCCAAGGAGTGGGATGAGCTGATGGCCAAGGGGAAGAGGTTCCATGTTCTGCAGCCCGTGAAAATCGGCTGCGTCTGGGCAAGCGCAGAAAACGACGGCAGCGGCGCCAACGGGGACCTAAAGGTTCTCCTGCAGTTCTCTGCGTGTCTCCTGGATTCACCTGTCGCAGAGGAAGAACAGCAGACACAGAAATGCAGTAAAAAAAGAGCAAAAGATCAGCAAAGTAAGACCTGAAGGGCTGAATAGTTGTACTTTTGTGCCACTCTGCTCTGCTTTGGAGAGAACAGCTTTGTCTATTGAATGTTAAATATGGGATGACCTGATTTTGAGTCTGAAATCCAAGGAATCTCTGTGAGAGTTCTTGGGAAGGAGTTTTCTGGCGTTGCCTCTGGGATGGCCCTAGTCATGCTCTCCACAAACTCTTGCTCTAGATAATCTAGGAAATAAAGCCAACGAGACTCAGCTTTAGGGCTGTTTACTGGGAGTGTTTGAGCCCATTGCTCCATTAATTGGGACAAAGGATTTCATTTGTGTGACCAGTGTCAATTCTGAGTATCCTGTGCGTGATTAACACAAAGATGAATCTGCACAGTTCAGGAGCAGCTTCTGTAGCTCAGGGAACGCAGTAAAAAGCTGGATTTTAAAAAGCTTTTGTTTTTCCTGGAATGAATATATCAAGTTCTTTCTATTAAAGGCTAGAATAGGAGTCGAAGCTTCCACTGAGGGGGTTGTAGGAAAGTCACCCCCCAACTCGATGATCTTTGAGGTCCCTTCCAACCCTAACCATTCTATGATTTACCTCCTGGTACAATCCTGTCTCTAAAATTATTCCCAACCTGTTTGTTTTCTTCCTGGGGTGTGGGTACTGATAGGTTTCACTGAATTTCACTGAATTTTAGAGTTGGAAGGGACCATAGAGATCATCTAGTCCAACTCCCCTGCTGAAGCAGGATTGCCCAGAGCTTGTCAGAGCATGTTACTCAGGAGCATCCAGGCAGGTCTTGAAAATCTCCAAGGAAGGGGACTCCACACCCTCCCTGGGCAGCCTGTTCCAGGGCTCTGCCACCCTCACCGTGAAGAAGTTTCTCCTCATATTTGAGTGGAACCTCTTCTGTTCCAACTTGTGCCCGTTGCCCCTCGTCCTCTCACTGGGAACCACTGAAAAGAGTCTGGCTCCCTCCTCCTTCAACCCTCCCTTGAGATACTTGTAGGCATTGATAAGGTCTCCCCTCAGCCTTCTCTTCTCCAGACTAAAGAGTCCCAGCTCTCTCAGTCTCTCCTCATAAGGGAGATGCTCCAATCCTTGAATCATCTTTGTTGCCCTTCGCTGGACTCTTTCTAGTAGTTCCCTGTCCCTCTTGAACTGGGGAGCCCAGAACTGGACGCAGGATTCCAGTTGTGGCCTCACCAGTGCAGAGCAGAGGGGGAGAATGACTTCCCTTGACCTGCTGGCCACACTCTTCCCTATGCAACCCAAGATACCATTGGCCTTCCTGGCCGCAAGAGCACACTGTTTACTCATTGTCATTTTACTGTCCACCAGGACCCCTAGATCTTTCTCTTCAGTAGTTGCCTCCAGCAGGTCCACCCCTAACCTGTACTGGTACCTGACATTTTTCTTCCCCAGGTGCAGGACCCTACACTTTTCCCTGTTGAACCTCATGAGGTTCTTCCTTGCCCAGCCCTCCAGCCTGTCCAAGGTGATATCAGCCTGGCTTTTCTTGGCTTTTAAATGTTTCTTCCCTGTAAGCTTTGTGCGTGTCTTCTTCTCCACAGTCCTCGGCCACCTCCTGCCACTGCTTCACGGCAACGTCAACGGGAGCAAAGTCATCATCCAGGAGTTCCAGGAGTGCTGCAGGCAGGGACTGTTCAGTGACGTGAGCGCAGCCGCCGAGGGCAGCGACACCAGCCCCGCGAGCCCCCAAACCTCCCGCCCGCAGACCCCCGTGGGGGAGGACAACGGTGTCCCCTCCAAAGCCAGGCTAAAACGCCTCATTTCCGAGAACTCTGTCTACGAGAAGAGACCCGAGTATCGGATGTGCTGGTACGTCCACTCGGAGGTGCTGAAGAGTTTCCAGCAAGAGCATCTCCCTGTCCCTTGTCAATGGAACTACGTCACCCAAGTCCCTTCTTCGGGGAAGGAGGAGGGTGGCAGCGTGTTGGGTGGGACGGTCCTGCAGGCCACCCCCGTCTCGGTGAAGAGGAAGCCCACTGGCAGCATGTCCATCACAAAATTCATGAAAAGGCCTCGGGATGCTGAGCAGGTGAGCTCCTTTCGTGCCGTTCCTTTTGACCTGTGTGGCCAACAGGTGGAGGGAGGTCATCCTGTCCCTCTGCTCTGCCCTGGGGAGGCCCCATCTGGAGCACTGGGACCAGTTCTGGGCTCCCCAGTTCAAGAATGCATCCAGGCAGGTCTTGAAAATCTCCAAAGAAGGGGACTCCACACCCTCCCTGGGCAGCCTGTTCCAGGGCTCCATCACCCTCACCATGAAAAAGTTTTTCCTCATATTCAAGTGGAACCCTTTATGTTTCAACTTGTGCCCATTGCCCCTTGTCCTCTTCTTAGTCTGGAGAAGAGAAGGCTGAGGGGGGGATCTGATCAACACCGATAAATACTGAAAGGGTGGGTGTCAGGAGGATGGGGCCAGGCTTTTCTCAGTGGTGCCCAGGGACAGGACAAGAGGAAATGGGCACAAACTTGACCATGGGAAGTTCCATCTCAACATGAGGAGGAACTTCTTTGCTGTGAGGGTGGCAGAGCCCTGGCAGAGGCTGCCCAGGGAGGTGGTGGAGTCTCCTTCTCTGGAGACATTCAAACCCACCTGGACACGTTCCTGTGGGACCTGCTCTGGGTGACCCTGCTGTGGCAGGGGGTTGGAGGAGGTGATCTCCAGAGGTCCCTTCCAACCCCAGATCATTCTGGGATTCTGTTCTTCCCCAGTAAAGAACGAGGGGAACGTAGCTGTGTGTCTTCAGCAGGCAAACATCCTGGCTGCCTCCCAGCTTGGCCTAGATCTGCCGTGAGCAGAGTTGAAATACCCAGCCCCACATCTCTGTACAAAAAGAGCCTTTATTTTTTTGTAGGGAGAGGAGTGAAATTACACGACTCTAAAGAGATGAGTTTCTTTTGTGTTTCTCCAGCTTGGACTGTCTGTTCCGTTTGAAATGTTGCTCTCCTGCTGTTCTTCCATTTTCTGCTATTTGGCAGTGATTGCATCCAAGCTGTGAATAGTTTCTGAGTGTCTGCTTGGCCTGGGTTTTACAGCTGTATAGGATTTGTATGTGGGTTTTTCTCTGGGTGTGTATGGCTGCCAGATGTATAGCCTGAGCTGGTGACTTACAGCAGTTGCATGTGCACTGATTAAATGTTCCAAAGTGCTGCAACTCAACCCCTACCAGTCTGTAAAGTCTCCTGTTTATGCTGAACACGAAGCTGAATTTTGAGAGCCGCTTGAAAAAAAGTATAATAATTCATAGGAACGGAATGAGATGGATTTGGAGTAGGTGCTACTCCAGCTCTCAGCTTTGTTGTGGTCTTCCTGTTGTTTGCTGCTGCTTTTCAGGGCAACCACAGGTAGAATTAAGAGCTTAATCATCCAAAAAGGTGGCTGAGAAGCCTGTGGTGGGGGCTTTAGCTGTGTCTGCTCTGTCGGGCGTTTAAGGCAGTGAGGCTTTAGCTCCTGAAACTGGGTGTTATCAACTGTTTGTTTCCAAACCTCCAGGTAGGACAGGGTTTGCACTGTCTGGATTTCTTCCTTATCCCCCGTGGACAAAGAGGGGAGGAAAGAAACTACAGACAAGGCTTTTTAATGCTTTTCCTGCCCGCTTTATTCCTGGCTTCTTGGGCTTTTCTACTGAAAAAGCTCTGCCTTCAAGTATTGATAGGGATCAGAGACTTGTGAGAAGCTGTTCAGCCCCCAAACTCCATCTGCTTGGGTTTTTTTTTTTTTCCTTATACACTAAATAAAGGCAAGAGATAAAAAAATCTCTGCTTGGCACCCGCTGGAAATTCTGCTTGTAACCAACTACTTGAGCAGAAAAGAGCAAAACAAAGGTTTTTAGCGGAGTGCCATCATTGGCCTCAATTCTTCAAAGCTCTTCAAAGGTGTGGTGCTGCACAGCTTGGAGCAGAGGTGTCAGAGCCCTGAAAGCCTTTCATGCCTGAGGTCTAAATCAGCCCTGCCAAAGTGGTGAGCTCTCATCCTCCCCACAGAGCCAGGCTGGAGCCTGGGGACAAACTGGGAGCCACTGGTAGGTCAAGGCCACCAGGTTCTCTGCCCTGGCACGTGTTACTCGCCGGGACTCGTGTGAGTAAAGGTGCTCTTACATAAAGCCTGGAGAGAGAAGGACTTGGTGTGGAAGTGAAGGCGTGTAGGAGGGGAAGACTTAATCTGAAAACTGTGACTTTAATGAAAAATATACATTTAAAACGTCTTCTCTTGGAGAACAGCTTCTCAGGGCTGGGGACCGGGTTGTAAGTCTGAGATTTTTCATTCCCCAGTTCCAGCTGGGGACACACACACACACACACACACAGTCAAAAAACACTCAGAGCTGTTCAAAGCTGGGCAAATTCAGTTTGTGTCACTCCTTGCCTTCATTTTCTCGATTCAAAATGAGTACTTTGTGCTGCTCCCGTGGCAGAAAATGGGGTCACCAAAGGAAAAACTGTCGCCCCTCCCTGAGTAAAAAGCTAATTGGCAAAGACGAGGAGGAATCGGGGGGAGAACACGCTTCAAACTTGACAAGCAAAACTGTTCAGAAGGAAGAAAGCATCCAAAATGATCGGCAGAGGGGGGGAGAGATTTCCCCTTCCAAAAAACCCAACAAAACCAAGTAAGATTTCAGTGAAGGTTTGAGCTGAGGTTTCGGTGTGTAGGCTCTTCACTGCGTTGTGTAACAGGGAAACATCTCAGAGGAGAAGCTTGGCACGCTTCCCGTGGTACGTGCTGCTGCAGACAAGGCCTTTTATTTAAAAAAAATAAAATATCAGTGTCTGTGGAAGCCAGGGGTTGCTTATTTTTCTTCCCATAAATAGGCCCAACTGCTCAGACCGTGCTGGGGGTGCCAGTTGTGGTTCCTCCTAGGCACTGGGTGGGCTTGGTGTCGTGTGTTGGCACCATCATCTCGCTGATACCCGGCTGGTAACCTTTGTTTTTTCCTTAAGGCTGAAGCTGCAGAGCTGGATGGATTTCAGGCAGACACCGAGGAGGATGAGGAAGATGACGACTGCATGATTGTGGATATACAGCCAGGCAAAGGTGGGAGAAATAAATCGACAGCAGCTTCTTAGGTTAGTTTAGGGATGGACCTCCTGGAAAGCACTGCTGAGGAGAAGGATCTGGGGGTCCTGGTGGAGAGGAAACTATCCAGGAGCCAGCAATGTGCCCTTGTCACCAAGAAGGACCATGGGATCCTGGGCTGTGTAGGGAAGAGTGTGTCCAGGAGGTGGAGGGAGGTCATTCTCCCCCTCTGCTCTCTACTGGGGAGGCCACAACTGGAATCCTGTGTCCAGTTCTGGGCTCCCCAGTTCAAGAGAGACAGGGAACTGCTGGAGAGAGTCCAGCGTGGGGCAACAAAGATGATGGAGGGATTGGAGCATCTCCCTGATGAGGAAAGGCTGAGAGAGCTGGGGCTCTTGAGCCTGGAGAAGAGAAGGCTGATTAATGCTTATAAAGCTTATTAATGCTTATAAGTATCTAAAGGGTGGGTTGAAAGAGGATGGAGCTGGACTCTTTTCAGTGGTTCCCAGTGACAGGATGAGGGGCAACGGGCACAAGCTGGACCATGGGAAGTTCCACTCCAATCTGAGGAAGAACTTCTTTGGGGTGAGGGTGCCAGAGCCCTGGCAGAGGCTGCCCAGGGAGGGTGTGGAGTCCCCTTCTCTGGAGATCTTCAAGCCCCTCCTGGATGCTCCTGAGTGATGTGCTCTGGGCAGCCCTGCTTTGGCAGGGGAGTTGGACAAGATGATCTCTAGAAGGTCCCTTCCAACTCCAACAATTCTGTGATTCTTGGCAGTAGCTTGGTCCCAGGAGGGAGAGCAGGATAATGGGAAAGTTGTGAGGCTTGAACCTGTTGCAGTTTTTCTGCCCCTCTTTCATCAAGCCTTGATGTTTGATCCTGGGTACTTCTCTGCTTTGTTATGTCTTATTCTAGATGCTTCTTTTGCTCCTGTTGCAGTTTTTCTGCCCCTCTTTCATCGAGCCTTGATGTTTGATTCTGGGTACTTCTCTGCTTTTTTATATCTTATTCTAGATGCTTCTTTTGACATTTATGATCTCCTCTAACCCACTCTTGCCCTTTTTTTCCCTCTTCCTCCAGTTGACTAAATAACACAAAGCACTTGTGACTAGTGTTTGGCTGCCAGTGTTACCTTTGGGGGTTTTTTTCTGGTTAGAAAAGTGAACATTGGGGTGAGAACCAGCAGATCCAGTCACTGCTGGTACAGGTTGCTGGGCAGGGCTGCTCTCTGGGCTGGGTTAAGTCCAGAGCCCTCCCAGGACTGACTGGCTCTGGAGAGTAACTCCCCTCCCCTGCCTTCCTCACCAAGCTGGTGAGGGGCCTGGAGAACAAGTCCTATGAGGAGAGGCTGAGGGAACTGGGCATGTTTAGTTTGGAGAAGAGGAGGCTGAGGGGAGACCTCCTTGCCCTCTACAACTACCTGAAAGGAGGGTGTAGAGGGGCAGGTGTTGGCCTCTTCTCCCAAAGGACGAACGACAAGACCAGAGGAAATGGTCTGAAGTTGGGGCAGGGGAGATTTAGATTAGATATTAGAAAGAACTACTTTACTGAGAGGGTG